AAAAAGAGCACAAGACAAGGATGCCCACTTGCTCCGCTCCTTTTCAATATTGCACTGGAAGTCCTCGCCAAAGCAATCAGTTAGCAATAACCGCGCCTCAGATAAACCTCATTGGCTACAATACTGCCACTGAGCAAAGCCGGTGCCCCAGCATGGTTTTAAGTCACTGGGTCTAAGACGCGAACCGCGGTCGACTACATGGGAGTCCAGCGACATAGCCATTACACTAACTGCTGGTCCCTATACATTCTTGATATCAATCCTATAAATTACATTTTTGGAAATGGAAGTTCTGAGACACAGGGTTATATCCATTTAAAATTTAGATAATTTTGTCAAATTGCCTTCACAAAACTTTGTCAATGCACAGTATCACCTTCAATATTGTTTTGAAAAAATACAAAACTCTAGAAGCAGTCTCACCAACTCTCACAGTGTGGAATCACCTTTCCCTTTTGTTCTGGAAACCACAGTTTACATAATATAGCCCCAATGTAGCATTAATCTTTTAAGCAACCATTTCATACAATATACAGTCAACTACAATCTGAAAAGCTGGTTGTGTATGTTTGTTAAACTATGTCTTCCCTATTCTATGATCAGAAAATTTTATTTTGAGGCCCAAGGAAAAAGAATTCTTTTTTTTTCCCCTGCCAGAGAGAGCATGCACTCGTAGGAGACAAATAGGAAGGAAGGGCGAGGGGAAGTAGCAAAGAAAGACCCCCCCCCCCCCCCGCCCCATCCATGCCATAGGGAATGGCTACGTGGCAATCCCTTCTTCTCCATTTCTCTCTCCTTTTGGGATTTTTGGTCATGCAAGCACATGCCCAGCAAATTCTTCCAGTCACTGGGCCCGGGACATGAAATGTGTAGTAGGCCACATGGGGTCCAGCCACCTTAACTGCCACCAGCTAGCCCAAGAATTATCTCTGTTAAGAGAATATAGCCAAAGCAATGTAAATATTGGACTTACCAATTCATTTTTCGTATTCAGGTCACTCTCTAGCTCCTCACAGCTCTGTTTTTGTAACATGGCCTCCTCTTTCAGTGATTTGTTCAGCTTATCTTGATTTTTAATTTCCTCAAGGAATCTTGTTTGTTTGTTCTTAAGTTCTTCAGTTTCTATCATCTTCTTTTCCAGATCTCTTTCTAGTCTTTCTATCTCTTCTACCAATGAAAATTTAATAGTTTATCTATATTTCCTCTTTGGAAAAAAGTAAGAATATTTCTCAAATAAAAAATAGCAAATGATGTCTAGGAACAGGATAATATAATTCTGCTTTCTAAAGTATCTAACATGATTTTTTGGGAAAAAATAAAACACCTTGAGCTTGAAACTGATTTATATTAAGAGACAAGAGGGTAATACTTTGGATGTTATTTTTAAAAGATAATACTTTAGAGGCCAGCAGGTGGCATGGTGGTTAAGGGTGCTGGATTTCCACACAGCTGACTGTAGTTCGAGTCCTGGACCTGGTGGCTTGCTTTCTCACTTTCCCTTCCTCTCTCTCTCTCATTCTGTCCCTCACTGGTCAAATAAAATAAATAAATAAATAAATAAATAAATAAAATAATTATTTAAAATAAAAAAAATTAAAAAGAAAAGAATAGCATGCCAAGCATGTGTGCCCAAACTCCTGAGAAGAAAATGGCGGAGAAGGGATTGAGGTATTACAGTGTGGCCATTTCCCCTGGGTGGGGGTGGGTTTCTTTCTCATTTTTTTCTTTGTCTCTGTCTCTGCTGAGTACACATGCTTTACAGAAAGAAAAAAAGAAAGGCGGGGCCTTTCGGAGTTGATTAGGATTAACGTGTAATCAGGGTGGGGTCATCATGATTTAATGTTGGTGGGTTTATAAAGAGAGAGAACGGGATAGAGCTGTGGACACCACGACTCAATCATAGGCTCAATCATAGACAGGCAAGCTTTGCCATGAGATGCTCTGAGAGGACTTGGATCTTTGCAGAGAGTCCCACCAGCAAGACAGCTTTCACCAGCTGCAGCCCCTTGACCGTGGACCTCCAAAACCATTACCTGAATAAACTTTAGTTCTTTATTAAATTGCCTAGTTCCCGGCATTCAGTTATTAATCAATAAAAAGCAGACTAAGACAGTCTTTTTCATGCTAAAGTGAGTCAAAGTAACTAAACATTTTTCGAATACAATTGGCTTGAGTGGAATCTTTTTATGTGGGAATTTAAAAATTTCATTATATTTTCTCTGTTTAATATGCAATATTCTTTCATAAATAAGAAGAAACAACAATACTGTCAACAAAAAGACAAGCTATTTATCACATTATTGTTGACTGCAAAAGTCAGAGAAAAGCCTGAAAAAATTTAATGATTACCACACTAAATATTCACACCTGGATGTAAATTCTGCATTCTTAAAAAGAATTAATACAGATTAATTGATTTTATAACATAGTAAGTGGTTTTTAAAGTTTGAGAGAACTAAAAAAAGTAAGGGAATGCAGTAGTTTAAATGTTTTAGTTTAATGAAAAGTAATTCTGCTTAAATTTATCTTTAATTTGTATGCATAGATACTAAATATGTGCCAAACGAAAAGAACATTTGGAGAAGGTGATGTCCTAGATATCAAATGAAATAAATATGTCTAGAAAGAAGGTGTGATCAACTTGTCAAAGCTGCTGCTCATTCTGAGTTCTGAGAATTCACCAGAGGGGAAACATATTCATTATTGGTAATCCTGACAAACTGTCATTTTGTGGAAGTGCGGGTGTTCAAGAGTGAATCGGAGGTGAGGAATTGGTGACAAAAAACTTAGTCAACTATTTGGAAAGTTATAATATGCAAAGGGGCTTAAAAACACTCCCTATGGGTGAATTCTGGCAATAGCTTCACATTGGGTAGTGGGCTTTCACTCTCATCCACTAGATTTTGACTTTCTTGCTTTCAGTTTTTAAATTCATGTGAGGATTCAATGAAAGCTGTGGACTCTCTCCCTACCAGTCCCAAATCCCCTTCCCCTGCTCTCTTCACACAATATTCGTAGGTTCCCACCCAGCAAATTTTGACTACAAGCTTAGTGGATTTATGGATCTCCTGAAGCTTGGGGAACACCAAGTGAAGAACTGTACTCCTAAAGTCAAAATCTGATTTAGTTCTACTGTTTCCAATCTATACCCCACCCCACTCCCATTCCCACCCTGCCCCCTGTCCCCGCCCCCGCCCCTGCCAAAGCTGTTAGCACAAAATCAAATGCCACATGGTACAGGATGACAGATGGGAGAATGCTCATTTACGTGGGGTGGTTAGAGGGACAGGGTGCAGAGCTAGTCGTTGGGGCTGTCGCGGAGTGGATGACTTGGCTGTCTAGGAGAGAACATGAAAGGGATTAGTGTGTCTACCACTTCTCATTCAATCCTTCCAGTTTAAGCGTTCCCAGGTGCCCCACTCTCCCCAAGCAACCAATGGAACTAATGACAGGGCTGTAACACTACAAAAGGGGAAAACGTTGTCTCTTTCAGAACTGAAACTTTAAAGACACTACCCCAACGAAAGAGGAATATGTTTTTTTTTTTAGAACTGAAACGTAAAAAACAATCAGCTACACGAATGAAAATATATAATGTTTTCCAGCCTCTATATGTCCCTTCGACGAAGATATCTCACATGTCTCCTTCAAAGATTTCAGTCTGACTTAAACGGAGACTCGGGTAATACTTTGGATGTTATTTTTAAAAGATAATACTTTAGAGGCCAGCAGGTGGCATGGTGGTTAAGGGTGCTGGATTTCCACACAGCTGACTGTAGTTCGAGTCCTGGACCTGGTGGCTTGCTTTCTCACTTTCCCTTCCTCTCTCTCTCTCATTCTGTCCCTCACTGGTCAAATAAAATAAATAAATAAATAAATAAATAAATAAAAAAAAAAAAAAAGTTAAATAAAATAATTCTTTTAAAAAAAGATTTTTTTACTTCTAAATACTTAATTTGATTTAGTTTGGTAACAAATGAGGGTTTCCCTCAACCCAGGTCCCCCTTTAAAAAATGCAGTATTTTATTTGATGTTAGTAGTAACACTTAAAAGGATGCTGTAAACATTTCTGTAAAATACTACATTATCTTAAAATCCTTAAAAGGTTTCTTATTACTACTCAGGATAAGATAAAAAAAAAAAGCTTATAGGAAGAGCTAACAAGGCTCTTTAAGATCGGGTCCCAACCTCCCTTTTCAGCCTCATTTTCCAGTGCAGCTTTCCTGAAATGATTCCAGTTCAGATTTTTGATGCCTCTTCTCACTGACAGGCTTCTATTCATACCCTTTGCCTAGAACTGTCTTCCTTTATTTCCTACTAGGCTATTTTGCATGCTTGGGTCTTAAGTTTTATAAAACATTTTGAGAAGCCTGCCCTGACCAGGTGCTCTATCTTTCTAGATGAGATGCTTCTTATGGATTCTCCCATGCAACCGCAAGCTTCCACTGTGGACCTCGTCATGTAGGGAGTTGTAAAATGTGATCAAATAGCTTGGCTGGCTGTCTTCCTGAAGAATGCATCATGAAAGAGGAAAATGAATCTCTATGATTCACCACTAGATTCTAAAAGCCCAACATAGCAAAAGCTTCTAATTAATGTTTAAAACCATGAATGAACCATGAGGAGTTTGAACATTTCCCCAATAGCATTTATATTTACATGATGATTTTTCTCAATTATTTATATTTTTAAGATTTACTGAATTTCATTTGTTATAATAATTGTTTAATTTGACCAGAGAGAGACAGAGAGAGAGAGAAAGGGAAAGTGAGAAAGCAAGCTGCCAGGTCCAGGACTCGAACGGTGGTCAGCCATGTGGGAATCCAGCACCCTTAACCACCACCTGCCAGCCCCATGTTATTATATTTTTAATAATTCTAAAACATAAACTTCTAAATGACAAATGCTGAGTTTGGGGATCCCAAACTAATAAAAATTTACCATGTTTTTCAAATATTGGACCAAACTATACAAAATTGCCATTTTGAAGGTCCAAACAGATTAACACCAATTTTATTTATTTATTTATTTATTTATTGAGGTTTTTTTTTTTTTTTGCTA